TTTACCAAACTTAGTTTTATGTAGATATGTATATTTATTTTAGATTTGTCATATTAAGATTGAATCAATATATTGGGTTCTAGCGAATCCACATTCACCCCATTTATGACATAGACCTGGATTGGGTTCCACTTTAATGAAGCTGGGCCAAGCCGGTTTAGTAATCTAGCCCTAATATATGCATTATCGTGGACCCTTAAAAATCATTTCCCATTTTTTTTCATTACTTTAGGCCACGCCCCTGATTCTTCTACTTTTGTTGTAGATGGTATTCTATGCATGAAATAGGATTTGGTCCTCACATGATTATACCCACACCATTTGTACAATTATGGAGAGATTCCCAATGTAACACAGCACAGGACTGTGTGAACGATGTGAACACGGCCTTCTAAGAATTAAATCCGATCTCCTATGCATGAACTCGAACAAAAGATAGTATTCTTTCCTTCTTGAATTTAGGCTTTCCCTCAATTGATTTATGTTTGCAATTTGTTTTTGATGCATGCAAACAAATTATCTCATTCATCATACAAGTCAATAGAAAATGTTGATTGATCCATTCAATTCATTATTGGGTCAACAACCTCATTATTGATTATTCTGTTGTCATGCCTGGAATTTGTTGTCATCCAAATTTAGGGACAGTTCGCCGATGTACATAGTTTCGTTATCTAGAACAAAAACTGCAATTTTAAAAATAGTGGTGGGCCCTTCTTTATCTTATTGGTTGTTAGTTTGCTTTTAAACCACCCTTAATTATAGGAGATCTGAATGAATGTGGTTGTCTGGGTAATGGTTTTAAAAACCGGACCTGATCGGACGGTCGGACCAGAAAATTGGGAACCGGTTAGGTGATCGGTTCTGTTTTTCCCTAAAATCGGATATTTGCAAAAAAATGTTAATTTGGTCAGTAAACTGTTGATCTTGGCGGTTGAATCGTTTGAATCGTTCAATGGCTTTGACCTTTTTTTTTATTTTTTGTTAGAATGGGCCTACCGTTCGACCCAGGAACCGGACCCCTAACCGGTTCATTCTCCGGGTCAATTTTAAAAACCTTGGTCTGGATGATAATGGGCTATTTTCCACTGTTTCTAGAATTGGGTCGAGTAAAGGTAAGATTTCCTCCAATTTCATTAAGATGTAAGGGATTTGGAATTATAGGAGACTAGTGGAGAGACCCCTTCTTTGCAAGGGCTGGATTGGAATTGTAACATTGCTATTTGCTACATTACAAAAAATAATAGTTTTTTATTAAGAAACTTGCAATTATAAGTACTCAAGTCTTGAAACTCATATAAAGACTTAAAAGAGATTATCATGTGCTTGTTTTTTGAATACTACTTCAACAAAGTATGTCATATAAAAGAATACAATCATACAGTGATAATTCGAGAACTCCTAGTTGACCCAGATGGTAGGACCGTTCGGCCCGGAAACCGTCTAGGCAACCGGTTCCGTTTTACCCCAAACCCGATCCTTGGCAAAAAATCATTGAATCAGTCAATGACCCATTGACCCAGTCGGTCGAACCGTCTACTTGCTCAATGGTTTTTGACCATTTTTTATTTGTAATTATTTTTAATTTTTGTTGTCAAAATAGACTATCCGTTCAAACTGGATGGTTGAACCATTGACCTAAAAACCGGTGGCTAGAACGGTTTTGTTTTCGGGTCATATTTTCTAGACGTCAATAATTAAACGAAATAACTTTGTAATCATATTCATGGAAATGATAGACATTGCAAGGATTCTAAAATCTTGAAAAATAAATCCAAAATAATCTTAAACACTAGAAAAAAAAATTTAACAGTAAATCCACCAATCTAAAAAATTCAACAAATTTCTCAATGACCGTTTTTTTCTATTATTTTTTAAGGCAACTAGAGCTTTCTGCTGCAATGCTAAGAACTATATTGGAAGTAGAACTAGACAGCTCTGACTTTAAGCTAGGGATAGAAATACGACCTATTTTCATACGATGGCTACCATGCGGTAAATAAGAAATAAGATTATGTGGCATTAAGCTAGACCGCCATAAGTCATCCGATGTCAGAGCGAGAGAAACTGAAAAACAGGGAAATAAAATTTAAACTAACTAAAACAAAAAAACTACATTTCCATCTAATTGGGTGGTCAATGAACCATATGGATGCAAATTAGGCAGGCTTAGAGTCTGCACTTTGGACCAACCCAACTTTTTAGACAATCTGGCTTGAATTTTTAGTCTTTGGGCTAGACCTAAGCCTAGGCCCAAACGTTTGGGCTTTGATTTTTCGACTTACACCTAGGCCAAGACTAAGATAGCTCAAGCATTGCTGTATCATACATATAGATATATAGGCACATAATTGCAGACAGAGGTTTGCTTATTTCCTTGTTTCCTCTGGTCTTAACTAGAATTTGGGCTTTAGGAGAGATTTAAGGGATATTGAACTTGACCAGGTTGCCTTGCTCCATAAAACTCTTGAACCTATTTGTTTGAACCCCTCATCTTCAAATAGTCACATTTGGTTGCCTAATTCTTTGAGTTCCTTCTCCTGTGCCTCTTTTTTCTCGTCTCTATGCTCAAATCCTAATCCTCAACCTTTTCATAGCAAGGAGATTTAGTCCAAGCCTAATTCTCCAAATGTGGCAACCCTCTGTTGGGAATTGTCTCTTTGGAAAAATAAATATTCTGGAAGTTTTGCAAAAAAGAAGACCTAATCTTTGCATCCCCCCAAATTGGTGTACCCTTTGCAAAGCAAATGAAAAAAGTTGCTACCATTTACTAAGTTCTTGTTGTCCTTTTGTTGTCGGCCTTTGGGAGAAGCCTTTTGATCTTTTTGGGTGTAGGTGGACAGAACCAAGACAGATTTTCTTTTAAGTGTCCAAAGAAAAGTAATAGTCTTGTGGAGGTGTGTGAGAATTGATTTGGTGTGAACTGTTTGGGAGAAAGGAATGCCAAAATCTTCGATGATAATGGGAGGGGTGAGATTAGTTTATGGGAAAGTATCATAAATAAGGCCATAAGTTGAGCAAAGTCACTAGACCTGTTTCAACCTTTTTCCCTTTGATGATTTCTAGACAAATTGGAAGCAAATTACTAAAAGTACTGTTGTTAGACCAAGCCTTTGGTGGATGGAAACCTCTTGGAGAAGGAATTATTAAATTAAATTTTGATGGCAATAGCTTAAGGTAACCCAGGGTGTCCAGAATTGGGGGAGTTTTAAGAAACGGTGAGGGCCAGATCATAGTTTTATATTTTGGTTCTATTGGTGTGGGAGATTCAGTGAGTGCAGAAATCCAAGTTGCTCTAAAATGAGTAGTGTTTGCTAAGGAACTGAGGTTGGAACACATAATCATTGAAGGTGACTCTCAACTAGGTGGATAAAAAAGCCAAAGACTACAGCCTGGTTCTACAGAGGGGCTTTGAGAAGGTTCAGATGGTTAACATCAAACATATCAAAGACTACAGTGGCACCTCGCACCTCTTTGTGGGATTTTGTAATATGTATCCTTTGTGATCTTTTTAGTAAAATCTTTATTATCTACCCAAAAGTTTGCATTCATGTATAGATATAAACATACGTTGATGTATTTAGTCAAGGGATGATTTATCAATCCATGCATGAGCCCAACTTGAATGCATCATCAAATTTTAATGTGGGTTGGGCCTAAGTTGGATAGATCAAGGTCGACTTTAGGCAACAAAACTTTGGACCAATGCATAGGCATGGGCCTAGGTTGAGAATAAACTCAGTCCATACATGGTTCGGAGTATTGATATGATACGCCCAATATGGGGCATATCGTATCATATCTTTCGAAAAAAATATGGTCCAAAACGCCTATTTCCAGGTGTTTCAGATCCCCAATTTTTTTAATAATAAAAAACATGCTAAAAGCTTCCCAAAAAACCAAAATGTGAAAAAAAAACTTAAAAAAAAATAAAGTTTCAGCCATTTCTAAGTACTGATACGATACGATCGAAACTCCTATCGTATCAATACTTTGAACCTTGGCCCATACTATCCAACTGATGGTGGTTTTGTTAGTAGGATCTTTGACTTATTGGAATAGAGACTTGGGATCAAATGCCAATGCCACACCAAGGATTGAGAGGTGTTTAAGGGAGGATCTGCTCCTCACACTTGGCGCTTCACACACACCTCACACGCACATCCTATCATTCATTGGGAACATCTCCCGTTCTTATTAGTTATTATTCACTGGAGATGTTCCCAATGCACAGTGGATGTGCATGTGAAACGCTCTTTTGTGAGGAGCAGATCCCGTTACCCCCCATTGTGTATCCCCATGAAAAAAAAATCCAATCGTTTGGATAAAATGAGTCTACCAATGATGTCATAATTAAACAATAAAAATAAATAGAATTACAATAACAAAAATATAAAAAAAAAGTTATAGAAATATTTGACATATTTCAAGCGCTATAATTTTGTCATATGAAAAAAAACAAGTGCTATAATTTTGGACATTTTCATGCCTCTAAGAGACTGGGTCTAGTAACAACTAACAACTATGTCAGAAAGTTCAGGGAAGGTGATTGCAATTACCAAAAAGGTTTCAGCATTTTACCTTGATATTTATATGTAAAATATATAACATAACATAAAATAACATATATGCATACTAAAATTCACAGGCCCGATGCAGGCTTGAGCCAGAATCAGGGGTAATTTTGTCATAAAATATATTTAATAAACTTGACTAGTTTGGTCATGTAAAATACTTGAAATGTTTGTGGATAACTTCTATAAATAATCCCGAACGGTGAACTAAAGGAAATCTAACCGGAGCTGAAATTATAATATAGCTAAAAATAAATATATCATTTTGCATCTTAGTACATAATTCCTGTAATTTTCAGACTTTTAATGCAATAATTAGCAGTTAATTCTCAATTAGAAATAGCCTCCACGAGAGAAAAGACTTGGGATAATTTAATTATTCGAACCAACATTGTATTAAAATTTCGTTATATAGGCACATAAACATACAAATCAATATTATGGGATTTGGATCTTAATCAGATTAAATTGGGGAGGATCAACATTCAAACCATTACAAATTGAACTGATATTTTAGATCCAAGTCCGGCTTGGTCAATTCGGTTTATAGATCCAAACATTTGGATATCATTCAGTCACAAATGAGCATAGCAATTATGTAGCGGATCAAAGACCTCACCACGCATGTTGTAGAGCACAAGTTTGACTGTATGTCCTGCTTACTGGTGTCTGTATAGTGGTAAACCTGCAGAAAGATCTTGTCATACATTTGAAACCCGTACTCCCCCCAACGAAAAGAGAAGTGGGGATGAAGATCGATAAATTATGATTAATTTGAAGTGAAGCTTCAACGTTTCTTCCTTCTCATTTCTTCTTTTGATGCAGAAACTTTCAAAGATAACAAGAATAAACAGCCTTGTTAGGTTCAGAAGGCATACCAGAAAGGAACTTGAAGCATCTCTCCAATTTTTGATCGGTCATCCTCCCATTTTTTTACCATGATTGATTTCTTAAGATACATGGAAACCACATTTTCCAGTCATGCATATCCAATAAAAGACGTTTGTCTTACTACACTACCAAGCAGCAGATGGTGCTCCCGTCTCACACATGATTTTCCTGTACATGCCTTTTGTGATCCCTTTCTGCATAACCATGTCGTCCCATCCTGCCTCCGTCTTCCATCAAATCATGATTATGATTATGATGGTATCCCGGTGTGTAGTCATGCCGTTGCTTTCCCTCAAAATGTTTGTCTGGTGGACTAACTGCCTTTCTCTTACGGTTGCTGAACTTGGGAGAATGGTGATCGTGCTCAGCATCATCAAACAAGGATACCTCCCCTTCTTCCACATTCTCTCCATCAGGAACCCATGACGATGGCCCTTCCCTCACAGGGTATTTTCCATCTGCAGCATCATCATAATCCTTTCCATAAGCTAGGTTTTCAGATTCCAATCTGTTAGAAGGTTTAGACCAGCTCTGCCTTCTCTCCCGCTTGTTTCTCTCATCTTCAACAGCCAATTCAACTCCATCTTCCAGCTCTCTCTCAATAAGGTCATCATCATCCATCAAATCCATTTTACGGGCCACATCACCACGAGATTTCCTCCGTTTCTCTAAAGCTGCCTTGACTTTGTCCTTGTCAATCTTCTTAATTGCATCCCGTGGAGACTGACCTATAGGTCCTTCTCTACGATTAGTGGTGTTTCCAAACTTGGATTGTGCACCTTCATTCTTCCACTCCCCCGCTTCAGTGGTTTCACTTCTCCCACCATTTCTTTCATGATCTTCCACATGTCCATCTGACCCAAACTTGGGCCTGTTTGAAGCTTCTCCAATATTCTCCCTGTTGCAATGAAAAAAATCTTGTTCGGAGTGCCGACGCTCTTTATTTTCAATATCCACCTTGTCCAAAACAACAGTTCTCATCTCTGTGTTCCCATGGTCATTGCTCCGAGTTTGAGTACTCCTCTGAGGCCCACCATGATTGTCAACATTTGATTGGTCAGATGCAGGCCGAGATGATGGTACCGCAGCTCCAGGCTTTGTTGTAGATGAACTTCCTGATTGACCATAACCATTAGCTGATGCTTGTTCCTCATTACCAGCTGGAGTTTTCCCTGGGGTCCGGTGACTTGGTCCAATTTGAGAACTTCCTTCCATTTCACTCCCCTGGGAAGGTGGTACTCTGTTTTGTTCATACAATTCTAACATTTGATTGCTTACCTCTGAAAGAAACATGACCATAATGACAATATTAGAGAAGTCAAAAGATATCTGTTCGGAAGACACAGATGGACAGGATATCAATGACACAGATGCACAAGGCAATCTGCAAGCTAATGGGACAGGATGTCTCCATTTGGAAGGGAAAAGCCCATTGACCTGATTAAATGACTACAACCATCCATTCAACATAGTCACTCTTACTATAGCTACCAGTCAGAGGAGTTGAAGTCACTTGGGTCAATATTTGGCAATGCAGATCTTAGAGATGGAATGCTTCCAAATGGACAGCTCCACCATCTGCAACATGTACACCATTGTGCCTTCAATATACTGCCTCAATGGTTTTCAACATTAGTACATTACAAATGCAAAGAAGGGAAGATCACCAACCCTCCAATTGGCGTGGGGTGACATCAAATTCTTGCCACCAGACCTTCTCACCATCCGATGGGAGCTTCACTTTGAGGAATTTAGCAGCAAGGAAGATGGCACCTGCCGCAATGTGATGGGGCTTAAATTGCAGGCAGAGCGACGTCCGTAGCCTGCATGGCGCTCTCCAGTTCGTTAAGAGATAAAGAAACGAAAGACTATTGAATGCACATTATCTGAGTTGGAAATAAAAAGAAAAAGGGAACACAATAGCCACATCATACCCATCATTGACAAAATTCCATGCAACTTGGGCAAGGGCATTCTGAGCAACCTTGAATTTCTTTATTGCCTCCACAAGGGGTTTATATGGGTGGTGCACATTGAGATCAAAACCTAGAGTTGCAAGAACAACCCTTTCACCAAGTAAAATCAACTCTTTCTGTTGTTCATACACTTCCTGCATGAAGGATGAAGAAGGAATAAGAAGAAAAACAACACAATACTTATAAAGGATAAAAAGAAATGTATTGAGAAAAAAAAATAGTTTCAATAGTAACTCTTGTTCTATTGGAGTTAAATATGGGGAAAACTTGTACTAAACATGGAAATAAAACCAGATGAAAGTTGGCTTTGGAGCAACAAACTAAATATGCAAACAGACATAAACCACCAAGCGAGATGGTACCTTCTGCTTGATTCTTTGGACAGCAGCTGGATCCTTTTTATGAATGATTTCATAAGAAACAAGAATGACATCCTTCAGTGGCCGTGGAGTCTCTTCAACCTTCCCGGCAAGGAACATACAGACTGTTGCAATGGTCTGCAGAGCATTTTCACCACATCAATAACTAAAAATTTATCAATGAAAATACAGCACAAATGTCACCCAAGCACTCCTTTCTTTTTCCATCAGCATGTATATCCAGCCATATAGATAGATTTACCTAGATTCTGTAAGTAACACTACTCATCAGCAGTTGTAGAAGTTTCAGCATAGGGGTCATAACTTGAGCAGTCACTTTGTGCATAAAAATGCCAAAGTTTAGGACCGCATCCAGTCTACCCTCCAAAGACCCCAGATAGCTGGGACCAACATTGGGTAATGACATTTTAGCTGTTAAAAGAGTTTCAGCATCCACAATGAAATTCTGTGAAATGTACTCTGTACAAAGTTTCTCCTCAGGAGAGTATAATTTTGCGACCAGCAAATCATCAATGGACCCAAGTCTATAATAACTTCAAAAACTACAATAAACTCCAAAACACATTAATTTAGGATACATTTTACAGTTCCAAAAGTAGAACAGCACAAGACAAAATAAAGTAAAAGGAAGCCTAAAGTGGTTTCTAATAACAGCTGAACTAGGAGTTGAATGATGAATGCTGAAAAGATTCCATTTTGAAAATCCCTTTACCCAATGATGTTAGAATATTTTTTTATTAGAAAAATGAGAATTTTATTCAATTAAGAGAATTAAATACAGAATTACAGCAGTTAGAAAGTAGACATTGCAACAGAAATTGTTACAATAAAGCCCAAAAAAGCTGTTGCCTTTGAATTCCCTGTTTCGCTAGAGAATCAGTCATTCCATTTGCAGTTCTCCTGATCCATGTGAATGAGGTATTAAGTTCCCTTGCTATGCTTACTATCTCCCTTAATGGATGTCTATAGATCCAAGGAACATTACCACTTGAATTGGTCCAAGAAATCACCATTTTTTATTCCCCTTCTATCTCCAAGTTCTCAAGATATGCTTGCTTGGCAATTTTTAATCCTTGTAGCAGAGCTAATAGTTCAGCTTTTAAAGAATCACCTTCCGCTAAGGGTCCTCAGTACATAGCCAATACTTTGCTTGAGGAATCTCTGATCATACCACCAATGCCTGTCATACTTAAGTTTCCTATAGAGCTCCCATCAAAGTTCAGCTTAATCTTGTTGAGACCTGGGGGCTTCCACTCCATCACCTTTCTTTCTTTCTTCTCAGCAGTGTATGTCACTCCAAAGCCTTTTTCCAATTATACAAAGTATGCTATGGGAAATAAATTGTTGATAAAGATTGAGCATCGAAGAAAAAAAAGACCATAGGGGAAATGGATCTGTACTGGGTCTTTGTTCAGATTCAATAGGAACTGGAGACTCACCGAAAGCAGAAATCACTTCTCTCCTACAAGGAAAGGCAGCTGAACATGAATCAAATAGATGTTGAAGTATACTCCTTGCTGGTAGTGGGCTGGTTGGTGAATAACAATGAAGGACCTTGAATGTATAGGCAGGAAATGAGGGAGATTGGGAGTTTATCAAGAGAAGTTGAGGTGATCTTCAAGTGGGTCTATGGATCAGCAAATGGCCGACACATTAGCAAAGCAAACAAAACTTGATGTGTTTCTAATTAAGTGGACACATATCCAATCCATCTAAACTTGGCATAAAGAAAAAAAAAGGGCATGGATTTAGCTTATCCAACATGTACACTATAACCATACCCGTCCCTTCTTGAGTCTAACATTTTTTATTTTATAAAATGGCCCAGAAAGCCCTCTTAAATCTCATACACATGATTTTTTTATCAGTTAAACCTCATAAATATGTTGCAGCAGGAAAAAAACTCATAAATATGGATTTTCTATGCAACATTATGTAATGGATTTGTTTAATATAACAACTTTTCATTAAAATGAAACAAAAATAATTACAAGGGGAGATAAACTTTCTTAAATCTTAACTCCCCGGGTTGGGCAAGAGCCCCCATAAAAGCAATAAAGAAGAAATACAACATAGCCCAAAATAAAGAATCCCAAGCCACCCCTTGCTTAGCTAACCTGTCAGCAAAGGAGTTAGCAGATTTCTTCACCCAACTGTACTTCACTTCCATATCCTTTGCCAGCCACTTGTAATTTTTCTTTTCATTGCTAAAGTTCCACAGCCCTGCCTTATCCTCCTTTAGCCATCCTACTACCACCTCTGAGTCACCTTCAACCACAAGCTTCCTTATATAACAAGCTTCCTTATATTCAACTCCTTTGCCCTTCAGATTCTTTCCAGAACCACAAGGATTTTTAATTGCCATTTTATACAATCTGACTTTCTCTTTTCACTCTTTTGTTCTTGATGCTTTCCTTTTTGGATATCAACAATGGAATGTACCTATTCTGATAAAAAAAATTGAATATATCTAAATTAAGCACAGGTTATTTGCATTCGCTGAAAACTAATATTTATCACCCAATGTATGATGCATCCATTCATTAGTACTAGTTGGTGACTTGGTGTATCAATTTTAGCCTGAGTTCCCGCATACCAAGATTTTAAAGTTGGATAAACCCAACCCCTAGACACATACCCATACCCAAGAGGCCAAGACCATGTAATACATTGGTATATGAAATGTGCCTATTCTGATAAAAGTTAGATAAACCCAACTTTAACATAAGTTCCCACGATCATGTACTAAATTGGTATATGGACACATCATACAATGGTATATGGAATGTACCTATTCTGATAAAAAATTGAATATATCCAAATTAAGCACAGGTTACTTGCATTGTTGAAAATTAATATTTATTATCCAAGGTATGATGCATCCATACATTAGTACTAGTTGGAGACTTGGTGTATTAATTTTGGATAAAATTTTGGTATATTAATATACCAAGATTTTAAAGTTGGATAAACCCAACTCCTAGACACATACCCATACCGAAGACCATGTAATACATAGTAAAACGATCACCTTAAGATCTAAATCTTTTCAACATTAACAAGACAAGCTATCAAATGCAGAAAACTTGGGTTATGTTTGGATAAGCTTTTTAAAGGTACTTTCGTGCTTCTACAAAAAAAAAAAAAAAAAAAGAAAGCTTCAGCATTTTCAGAGAAAAAACACACAAAGCAGAAACACTTGTGCAACAAAAAGCACAAGTCTTTTTTCTTATTTAGTGATTTGAAAGCACATTTGGGCCAACTTTTCACAAAACTTAAGATGCAAATGTATATGAAAATGGAAAATTTCATGACACATGGCACAACAATGGGTCATGATGCTCATAAATATATGCCACATCACAAATTTGTAAATATGGTAAATTATATGCCATGTGTCAAATTTGTGACACATGGAAAAATATATGCCAAGTTAGATGACCACAAATGTGGCAAAATATATGTGAAATGGCACAACTATGGGTCATCAGACATTTTTATATTATAAAATTCAATAAATAACAAGTTCACATGTGGAATTTATCATGTCACATGTGGTAAAGCAACATGACATCATAGCTGTCAAGGCATCTAGGCAATTCTAGGCAACACTGGGGTGCCCAGTCATCTAGGCTCCCTAGGCAATAAGAATTTTATAATATAAAGAAGTAACTTTTGGCTACTTCCCTAGTTTTATATACCATTCTGCATGCATATTAATTGAAAAAATAGCAATTCTCCTTATTTAAAACATTAAATTTCCTCTAAAAATGTGGCAAAGCATCATATCTTAATGATAAAAAATCTTTAAATATATTAATTTCATTATTTTATAAAATGATACTACTACAATAAGTATTTAATAGAGCAGTTTCGTACAATTATCAACTATAGAAGGTTTTTAATTTTATATAATAAAAATTCAAGATGAAAGTAAAATAGAAAAAATAGGTTGCAGTTTTATTTAATCGGTGAAGCATCTTCTACTGGTGTTCTTTCCAACAAGCTATCCCTACCCCTCTGAACTTTTCTTGGCCCTAAACCAAAGCACCACTCCTGTAATTGAATATCCTCCACCCTCAGCATAAACTCCTAGAGCTAGTAGGCAAAAAGATTCCACCCTGTTTTCTCTCTACCTTCCAGCACATAGATCACCTTCTGTTGTCCCCAGTCTGTTCCATAATAGCAACAAACCACCCTTTAACGTTCCTGCCTCCTCATTTCAGTTTCATACTTCTTTCCAGCCAAACTCACTAAACTCTTCCATACCTGTTTTTTGATAGAATGGACCGCCCCATCCATTAAGCCCTTCAACCATCCAATTTTCCTTCACCTAGCTGTACTTCACTTCCGTATCCTTTGTCAGCCACTTGTAGTTTTTCTTTTCATTGCTAAAGTTCCACTATCCCACCTTATCCTCTTGTGGCCATCCTACTATACCTGCGAGTCACCTTCAACCACAATTTTCCTTATTCAACTCCTTTGCCCTTCGAATTCCTTCCATCCTGAGCCAAAAAAAGAAATCTCATGGTCAATTGGTCATGGATCCAGATTTGTAGCCGATCCCATTAGTTGGGATAAAGCACGGATGATGATCATGACGATGACGGATCCTGAATTCCTGATTTGTCTTTTCATGTTCATTCTAGGGCATTTCCCAGGAGCAATGTTCTACACCTTAACTAAGTAATGCCAAATGGGCAAGGGTCAGCTAGGATGGTGATTTAAGGACCTATAATTTAACAATGGATATGGCACTCAACAGAATGGAATGGCGAGACAGGATCCATGACCAGTAGCAGAGTGCGTTAATTATGCTATTTTTGATATGAAATTGCTCCATTAAATACTTATTATATAAATATTATTTTTGAAAATATAGAAACTGATATATTTAAAATACCATTGCCTTGTCTTAGATACAACGGTTTGCCATGGTTTTAGAAAAAACCTAATATTCTAAATAAAGAAAACGCCCACTTTTCCAATTAATATGCATGCTGAATGATGTATAGAACTAGGGAACTAACTAAAATTTAGTTTTTTTTTTTTTGTTAAATTCTTAAGGCCTAGGCTACTAGGCATTCTACTATTGCCCAGAATCACCTAGACACCTTGACAATTATGCCAAATACCAGCCAGAATCAGTTGCTTAAATGATAGAATTTTGATCAAATAGAGCATCACAACAGTGTTGGATCACATGACTACTATAAATACTGTAATAAGGAAAAGTCATTGGAAGGTAATGATGAATAACATGGTTCATAATGAAGACTTGATCAAGGGATCCTGAATGATATGTTGTATGTTCACATGGCTACTGTGAATGTTGAAATAAGGAAAAGTTGTCAGGAGGTAATGATGCATAAAATGATTCATCTTGGAATGAAGACTTGATCAAGGCATCCTGAATGATATATTGTATGTTGCAGCACAATAAATTTAGAAAATCACTTGAGGCAGGGTAATAAAGTTCCTATCATCTACCCTCAAGGCAACTTACCTCTATATTAGAGGTAATTTTTATTTAACCTCGTTATCGTGTCCTCTTATTTTGTACTGTCCAAGAAATTTAAACAAAAATGTTTGCCACCATTCAAGCCAATGCAACATGTTATTTAATATTCACCACTATTCAAGATAAAACAGTGTGTTACATACCACAAGATGAACCAGAAAGAGAGAAGATCAAATAACGCCTTGCAATAAGCAAACACTAAATAGTTAAGGAAAAAACAACCACTAAAGCCAACCAATAATCACTCACCCTTCTATCATTTTTTGCATGAGATTGGCGTAGAAAAAAGCGATGACAAAAAATTATCGCTGTAGCTATTGTTACCTGGGGTCTGCAATCAAAAGAATTTAGTCACACTCAATAGACAATAGATAGAATTACAGTGAAGGGAAAATACCAATTTGAAGTAAAAAGCAATATAAGACTAAAAAAAGAAAATGTTACCAAATTAAGAGAATAAATATGAACCTAAACAAAAAAAAAAAAAAACAAGATAGAATACAAGCAGATATGTAATACCAGAAGCAGTAATTTATTATTGGAGAACTGGTTGTTCACACCTTGTTCTTGACAAAAGGGACAGCGCTCAATGAAACAATAAAAGATACCCCTGTCTACAATGATAAAAATTAATGCATACTACATAAAGGTACTCTCTCGTCTTTCTACAACATCATCTTGACCAAGGTTCTAAGTATCAAAGCACTCAATAATCAAAAACTGAGTATCAGACATGTAAAAAGGTCAATCTTCTTTACTTTTTTTGACTTTTAGTTATGAAATTCACCTAATTTTTCTAATACAGTGTATCAGTGACCCTTAGATACAATGCAATATGCCCAATATGGGGTGTATCTTATCAATACTTTGAACCTTGATCTTGACTAATGATCAAGATTGTTCCCTCTACCAAAAATGGCGATGTGCGTGAGTGTTGTTACCGCTGGTGGCTGGTTGTTGTTGTCAGCATGTACTATTGTTTTCAAATAAAATGGCAACCACTGTTCTTGTCATCATTTTGTTTTCTACCTTTTCTTAGTTTCTTGACTTAAAAGTTAATAGTTGAAACTAAACCAAACTAACACCAGAATAGTTCATAAAGCAAAAACTAAGTACAAATCCCTCATATAACTGGAGATAAAGGAAAGACAAAAAATAAGGATATTGAAGGACAATAGGACAAAAATAACTTCCAACAGCTAAATCGAACTCACACTTTGAGTCTCATGCCTAAATCCTGCAGAAATGTACAGTATGACTTGCGCAAGTACGTCTCTTTCTTCAAGTCAATGCCATCTCTTCTAGATGCGGAATTTTCTTCAATTTCCCTTCTAGATAAATACCAGCGGCCAACTTCTTCAGACCTGTCCTGGGAAAAGTTGTAAGGCCCACTTTCAACCATTCCATGATGTGAGGGATCCCCAGGTAACAGTCCAGCCATGTATATCTCTTACAAGAATGGCATATAATTCAGAAGACAAAAATCCTTAGTATTGACAGAGAAGGTCTTTATTACTGAAACCTGTATGAACACATCACCACCATTGAGTAGCTTCCTGTGCAAAAAACAGAAGGCTGTCAGCAACATAGAACCACTTGTTATATATAGTTTTATATTTATATACTCCACATAAAATTCTAGTAGTACATCAGCAATGTTTATGAAGAACTGTAGACTTCAATATTTAGTTCAACAATAAAACATGACGAAATATTTTAACACAATTTTGCATTGCTCTCTACCTATCCATGGTTAGTAACAGCATATCCATCATCACTGCTTCAACTCATGATTTAGCACCTTCCAATTACTAGCTCAAAACAAAAGCTGTGATAGGGTACGCCATCCCTCCTAAAGACTGGGTGAATCTCAAGGAAGTTCACATCATTCATGGAATCATGGGGCAATTGAAGAGAACAGAAAGAATTTCTCAAGGCAAATAAAGGGTTATTCTGCAGATATGCAGAGGCATGTCATATATTGCCTTTAAGGCTGAACAATTTAAAGGATATGGGGTAGTTATATATGAAGGGGATTGGAGAGAGAGCTTTTTCTTATTGGTAACAAGATCAAAAAGTTCTGCTAAAATAAGAATCAAATAGTATAGCCCTACCCCAAATAGAGCAGGACCAGTGATTTAAAAGGCACGCCTACATGCACAGGTGAGGCGCATCTTAGGGTATGTGCTTCGCCTAGGTCCTAGGCACAGACCTTTCAAAAGGTGCACGTCTGGTACACCTAGGCGTGCGCCTGATGCGCCTTGTGCCATAGCCCAGGCATGCGCCTTTTTTAAATTCTGTGCTTTTTGCTTTTTTTCGAGCCTAACAGCTGAGCTGGGGGCCCCCGGACCTCTGACCACGCCCCTTGAGAGTGGAGCTCCGAGAATCCCCTATTTGCTAATGTTGTTCATTCATTCGTTCTAATAAAATATCTTCTTAAAAGGCAATTAAAGTTATAAAATCATTACTTTTTATGTGAGAAATAAGAATTTAAGACCCTAACATGGACTTGTTCGAGCTTGCCTCGAGGGGCATGGTACAAAGGTGACTTGTAGAATCAAGAATGCAATATGTTTTACATCACATCAGCTACTTGAAGTAATGCAATTAAGGAAAAAAAGAAATCGTGAGTTTTACATGCTTGAATACGCTTTACATGTTATGTTTATGTATTTTAGTTTTAGATAATAGGTTTTTTAAAACATTTATTTTAAAATTTAAGTTTATATTTTTTATCAATATTATGTTTAAAATTTTTTGGCTTTTTTTTAATTTTTTAGCATTTTTTTGTATTTTTGCGCCTTGCTTCAAAAAGGCACACGCCTCGCCTTGCACCTCGCGCCTCAGACGCAAATTGGCCCTTGCGCTTTTTTTGCACCTTTCACTTTTAAAACAATGGGCAGGATAGAACAGCATTTCTCATGAAGACTGATAAAAAATAGCACATCCACATGACAAGCCAACATATGTTACATGGATACAGCAAGGAAACAGCTGGATATGGTATTAGATAAAAAATTTACAATAAAAATTGCAGCACCCGACACAATAGAGCACCCTTGTACAGACATAGAGATAAGAAATCAATCACATAGGCTTGTCCCCATACTTTCCCCCAACACCTAGGCTTGTCAAGCTTGGAAAATGGACTTTGCTACATGATTGAATGAGCTGCTCATTTGTGTATTGATGTTTTCCACCCTAGTACCTAATAAGACAATAGGGCACCCTTGTAATATTCAGGTATGACACAAGGCAACCACAAAGGTTTATCCCAAATACTCACTCTCCCCCAACACCTAGCCTTGCCAAGCTTGCAAAATGGACTTCACCACATGATTCAATGAGCTGCTCATTCTTGTAGCTGATGTTTGGCTCCCTATTCCCTAATACAACAACTGCCATGGACCATCTTTGAAGGTGATTATTCAACCTATCACCACCTGAAAGTCTCCTTTATTAACATAAGAAACAGATGGTGCAATTTTAGCAAGCAAAAAGAGTACAAATATATAAGAAAAGCAATTACTATGCTACTACCAGCCAAAAACTCCAAATAGACAAATTCCTATATTTACAAATACAACTTACCTACATGGCTACACTAAAGGGCAAGTCTCCAATTCAGACATTCCCTACCTAGCCAAAGAGAGAGCCAAGTTTATGACTTGTGAATCCAGCAATATTAGGTATTTAGCTATATGCCAGGAACATTGCCCTTCTAATAGCGTTAAGGCGTAGCCGAGGACTAGACTTCATCCATCATCCACCTATCACCACTTGGGAGTCCCTTCAATTTCTAGATTTGTAAATTTATTAGCAATTGTCAATCCATGAAAACAGAATTTTTGCTTTCAGTGTTTGTGGATATATCTTTTTTTGGAAACAGAACTATTGGGAATATATCTTCTCTCTATTTGGGTGTGGATGCCAGGGTGGTCTCACCTGATGATTTAAAATCTATCTTCTCTACAATCTTTTTCAACCCAAGAAAAAGAAGAGGGAAAATCCTATGGAGATGTGAAAGGACAGATGCCCTTTGGTCAATTTGAGAAGTGAGTAATAACAAAAATTAAAAAGAACAAAGGAGGTCGTTGAGAATATATTATCTAGGGTGGTGAGTTAGGTTAGGACATTGGAGATTTCTAATCCTTTCTCTAAAGAAGATGCTTTAAAGGGGCTGGCAGGTTATAACAGACACTAGCACTAACAGTCAAAGGATTGCAAGGAAATGGACACCCTGATCCATGGCATACTTAAGGTGCCTTTATTGCTCTATACTCTGGCTCAATAGATGAAGGAAACCCCATAACAGCCAAAGGATGGCAAGGAAGTGAACACCGTAAGCTACAAGGCCTTTCTAACTTCATTTTGATGGCTACAGCATAGGTAACCTGGGTCCCTGGCATGCTAAAGGTGCCTTTATCGCTCTCTACTCTGGCCCAATAGGTGAGGGAAACTCCATGACAGAAGAACTGCAAGAACTCCCTTCAAGGCTTAAAAACATGCAAGAGCCTTAACCTGCACAATTTTAGAAATTCAAGGAGACTCTCAGGTAGTGATCATTGATCAGAAGGCTGAGAAGTGAGAAACAGTTCTTACGGAACACAGCAACATAAGTACACTCTAAGACAGGCTATAACTCTAGCAAGAGAGTTGGGAGTTGCTTGGTCATGGACACAGGGCATCAAACAGTTTGGCTGACTCGTTGGCAATATCATTCTTAATATAAGTACAAAGCTACCACTCAAAAAAATATTGCAAAACCATGAAGTAATCAACACAATTTTGCTTATGTTAAAGTTCCATCCCAAGTTGGCCCAAGTAGATTAGCAACATTTCACCATCTTGGTTTCTACAAAGTAAATACCTCTCCCCCAAATGCCAAAACTTCCTGGATTTCCTTAGTTCAAACCATCTAGTTGAGTTTTACCTCATTCACTTATGGAAGAGAACAACGAGAATGAGCCATATCAAAATGCCATTAATATTATAGCACCCAAAGTCCTCTGTAATTTTCTTTCCTTTTTCTCTATTAAAGTTTATTTTTTATTTATCTTCAAAAAAAAAGTCCTCTAGGATTGGAAGTCAATGTGCTAGCTCATTAAATTGGTTTCTCTCATCATAGCTGAAAAATGTTCCTTGTCAATTGTCATGAAAGTTCCTTGCATTTTGTTCTTCCATAAAGCCCTGCTCTTAATGGCCTCTGCGTTATCCATACTTATCATTAAAAGAGGTTTCAAAAAGACTATCTCAGCTGGTGATTTCAAAAAGAGGTTTCAAAATGATGAGTAGTTTCATTAAAATTCTTACAACAGATTCGTCTATCAGAGAAAGACAACGATAAGGTCTCTATCTATAAATCTATAATAATTTTAATAAGTCGCCACCTGAGAGGCTCAACGGGTACCCACACTCTGAGAGCATGTAACTTTATTTATTGATTTATTTTGCTTCATGGGGCTACACAATGGGGGTAGCCCATCCCCTTAAACCCCCCCAACCCTGGTGGCAGCGGGATTTGTTAGTTTTGAAGTTATTTCAGCTATAAGTATGCATCAGGGGAGTTATTGTGAGTCTTCAAATTAAGGGAAATAAATATAAATGAAGTCGAAAATATTTCGATGAAGGAGAATAGCGAGATAGAAAATAAAATTATGCACCAGCAAAAAATAAAATCATTCATTTTAGTTCCTTTTCTTTGGCTATGATGCTCAAGAACTTTCATTGTCTGGGTTTTTATTCCATTGAAGGCCTAATATTAAGTTTCGAGTGAATTCATTTGAGAAGAAAGGTGCAATTCCTTTATCTTCTTCTCTTGGTTGTCCACTTTTTTTAATTATTATATTTTTGAGAGATTTGCTCAGCTCAAGGTCATTCTACATCATCCTATCTCTTCTTATGGCATTCTCTAAAAATCTCTGGCAATTCATCTTCCTGAAACAAGTCTAGCAGGGGGCCCTAGTGAAACCCTCAAGTCCAATAGCCTTATCCACATTTATGCTGAAAACAACAATGCTACATCAACACATACACAGAAATCAGAACCAACCATGTGTCCAAGTGTCTAACTCAGCAAGATGAGAAAACATGAACACATGGAAACATCTATGGAAAATTATATTTTTAAATTTTAACATTTTATACCGGCATCAAATGTTTTATTTGTTACTAACCTTTGATATGAAAAATGGCATTCTTATTGTACATTAGCTGTTCATTTATGTCAGATAAGCCAGGAATAGAAAGAAAATTTCATGTGAATGTGTCCTCAAGAATGTGTAGAGTGCAAGACTCCAGTGCATGCCCAACATGAACACATCATCCATTTAGGAAAGTCCATGCAATACTGCTTCCCAACATGCCATTTCTTCCTTTCTAGTTAAATTCTCCTGATCCAATCATTTGACTACGCACTATGATTCAGATGAGGAAATGCACAACAGTTCAAAATGAGACAACATTGCTCTCTTGATTTCCTCCTAATCACCTCAATGTCATTCTGCATCTCTTTGGAAATAAAGTACATCATCCATTTGCTAAACAGCAGAAACTTTTTACTCCTTATCCCCCTAATTAATCCATTTGCGTCATGTTTCTTGCCTCTGACTGATTTACTTGCACTATTCTATTCTCTTCTTTGTGGCAACTCTCCCTAGTGAGATTTCTTCCATCCTTCCATCTAAGTCATCTATCGGTCTCAACAACAAAGGCTTTGTTTCCCCGATGTTCCAGCACCTCCATTATTCCACTCCCTGAGGTTCACATTAGGGAGTTATAATTTCTTCATAAATCCAAAATCAGACACCTGACACATTAGTTTGCTCCTTCCACAAACTAATTTAATCTCTGAACAAATTGGTGCAAGGTCCACGTGTTTTCGAATTTGGAAGGAGAGGAGACACTTTGCAAAATGTCAAAAAAAGCAAGATAGGGTAGTGTTGAAGGCCCATCAGGAAACTGTCCAGTTTATGCAATACTGGAGTGATTTGCATATTTGGTCATGCTAATCTAGCATTGAATAGAAGTCCTTAACAGAACAATCATTAATAATGTTCTCAAACTTCCTCCTGCTGGTAGACTGAAAATCATTCTATTGTTTCCATCCCCCATTACAGAATCTGATCACATTTAAATCACCTACATTTTATCATGGGTCGTCCCATTAACCACAGCCTTTCCTATAATTCCTATCTATCTCTTCAACTAGATGATCCATTTATATTGGTCAAAGTCCATTGGGATCCATTTCATTTGGTTAAGACAGAAAAGACTCTTATGAACTCTTACAAAGGATATAGTCCCAAAACAGCATTCTACTTTATGTTAAGGATATTCAAGTGGCCAGCTGTGGTTGAACTAATACCAGTTTCGTTTCATCATATTCTTGACATGTAAAGTATCTGCCAGGAAGGGATTTTCTGAAATAGAGATATGATTGTTTCTTAGTTGGAAGCTCAAATATGCCTCCCTTTCCAAAACAACCAATAAGTCATGCATTTATCAAGTTTAAAAAGGCCTTGATACTCGTAGCCAAATTTCAATTACTGCTAAGCGATTCCCCGTTCACATTAGAGTAGTAAAGAAATGGATAGCTATATAGATCTATTTGTAAGAGATATGTTCCCAAAAATAAGTTCTTAGTTGGAATACTTTAGCTGCCATTGGCTTAATATATTACGATGCGGGGTTCCATGATACGTTGGATATTTAAACCGAAGGCACGCCAAATCCCCCTACCTATGATCAACTTTGCGATTGGTTTTGCTTACAATATCTGCTTTCTTACTGCAGCAAAAACTCAGGGCAATGCTGGATGCAGTTAACATTGCAGGAAGCTTCACATTACTATCGTCAAACATAGAAAGCAGTTCAAAGAGAACCCCAGTGGAAGATTGAAACGGTGTATCCAATTGGGGTTGCCATTATGAGAAGCGTTTAACTTCTCTCTTCCGAATAACAACTCAAATTGGCTAAGGAAAAGTTGTATTAAAGAAAGCACGCAATTAAAGCCAAAAAATTAGGGTTTTCAAACACGAAGCCCTTCGCAGGACTTCAACAATCCAATAACCCGAAAACTCCAATAGAAAGTTTGAAAATAAAGCATCAGAAGCGAGTAGCAAAAGCAAATAACAGAATCGGAGCGAACGGGAAACTAGGAAGCTTTATGAATTCAGAGGAGGAAAGAGAAAAGAATAAGAGATCTAACCTTGGGCTGAACAAAACTTCCGCCAGAGATCGCCTCGTCAAAACCCTAACTGGGTGAACAGAGAGAGAAAAAGTAGGGCTCTCCCACAACAAGATTCCAATTCCATAAATTCGAGATTCCACCATTTATGCTTCAAATTACAAAGATGTCCTAATCCTACTTGAAGAATAACTGGAAGACCTTCTTATTATTGCATTTTCTTTTGACAATGTTTCGGGTTTGTCATCCAGCCCTCGAATGACAGTGTTTCGGGTTCAAATTACAAAAATTAATTATAATTTCAGCCACGCCGAGGGATGATGTGGCCAATCCACACCTTCTATGGGAAAAACTTTGGCTGTTGGGGGCAGAGAACATTTTTGGGAATGCCACGTTATCATAAAATGGGTAAAATAGAAATTGCACCCTATTAGTTTAATGGAGAAGTACAGACAGGCCCATTATAGATTTTTGATTTCCATTATAGAACTATAAACATTCAAAATATCAAAAATTCACGTTCTATGCACCCATATCTACTCGTGAATTGGCATCAATTCCGAACTGGCACCTACCCCAAATGTTTTGAGCCTACAAATTCTGGCCTTGGGCTGAACCGTCATTCTCTCTTAGTTTAACGGCCCCAGTACTATATTTTAATGGTCTCTGTACTATAATCAGGAATAGAATTCTCAATTTCTCAACCGTTTTTATCATATTTTTGCAAAAAAAAAATATGCTGAACTTTTCATTTTTCAATATGCCACGTGTTTTTTTGATAATTTTTGTGTATATTTTTTAATTTACATTGTTTAATTATGACATCATGTATTGATCGATTTGACCTGAAATATTGAACCATTGACTGGCCACTAGAATATGAATCAATTTTATTTTTATGTTAAATTTAAATTTTATACTTTATTCTTAAGTTTTTATTATTTAATTATGACATCATCAATAATTCATTTGGCCTAGATTTACCTGCCACTTAGATGAAAATATAGTATAACGTCTTAATTACATAGATTTTGTATTGCTAAATTTAGGATAAAATACTTAAAACATATCCTCAATTTTCACAAATTGACTTAACATAATCAACTATAATCAACTGAAAGACTATTTTAGCCTTCACCCTTCTTCAAATTTTCAAACAAAGGCATTTGCAATGAACAACCCAAAAGGCCTTACGTGCAAGATCCTTGGCTAGCTTGGCTTTGAAACACTCGGTTTTAGTTGGCCAAACTGATCTTTGAAGTGGCATCTTACCTCCTTAACCATTCAATGGCGAGCGTCCTAAAATCACCCGAGTGTAATGTTGATCATGACTTCGATGCAAGAGAGACTGGGCCATCTAGTTTCTCAACATGCATGCATGAGTAAAGAAATTATTCTTCCTATCTTTTCATAATTTTTAATGCAACAAAAAAGATTTAAAGGATACAAAAGATAATTAATGGGTAAAAAATTTGTTTAACTAAGTCAATTGCTGAAACATCAAGGTGTGTTTAAATCTTTTACTCTTAAAAATATTAGATATGCATTTAATTTAAATAATTTACTGATGAAAAACAAAAATACCATAAATACATGATCTAGCGAGAAAGAATAAGAGAGAATTCAATTAAATGAAAAGTAGTAGTTCAAATTACATTATCAGAGAGACCAAATTCAAAAGTAGGATTTAATAAAGAGTGAATGGGAGAAAATACCTTAAATACTAGGACTTTATGTAGGGGTGAGCATTCGGCTTATTCGGTTAAAAACCAAATTGAATAAACCGAAATTTTAAAAATTGAACTAAAAAAAATAAAAACTGAAACCAAAATTTAGAAAAACTGAAATAACCAAAATCGAAATTTTTTGTTCGGTTTTCAGTTATTTCGATTAAAACCGAATTTTAATAATCTATACTCTATTATATATTCTAACATAATATATATATATATATATATATTATAAAATATATATTCTAAAATCAAATTTCAGTATATTATATAGGGAAAATTCCCAATTAGTACCCTGTACTTTGGGTCTAGTGCCATTTTGGTCCCCAAACTTTAAAATGCGACAATTCAGTACCCGAACTTTCAAAATATGAGAATCTAGTATTTGCTGTTAACCAATCATTAAGTGTCATTTGAAAAAGACACAAATGCCCTTCGAGTGTCATCTAATTTTCTTTATCAATCATCCAAACATTAAAAAAAAATTAACAGTCTCAAATCCTTGCCTCTTCTATTCAAAAAACTTGGGATCACCAGAATGCCCACTCAAAATTCTTGAATGGAAAAGGTAAAGATTTGGGACTATTAATTTTTTATCAATATTTACATAATTGATAAAGAAAATTAAATAACACTTGAATGACATTTTTGTCTTTTTCAAATACTACTTAATAACTAAAAATTTGAGAACCAAACTGGCACTAGACCCATTAGAATAGCACTGCCAAGCCAAACATCTAATTAATCTTCGAAACGTTCCACATTAGAATAGCACACCTGGCAAAGAAGGAAAGATAAGAAGATTGCATGTGTAATATCATTTATCTGTGCCCATGTAGCCAACCAATCGAGCAACGAAAGAACTGCACCGGAATTTACGCGATCAGCAAGATCACCAAACCAGACAGCTCGTGAATCGTGATGCATCACAATCAATAAATAGATGTTCTAATGTTTCATCATGAGAATTGCAAAGTGGACAAATAACTGAAATCTTTTGAGACTTTGTAGCCAACACAGCACAAACTGGGAGCATATATTATGTATACACCGCCATAGAAACAACAAAATACGGGGTGATGACAAGCATTTAATTATCCAAAATACCTCCCATGTAACATTGCCAAATGCCGGATGGATTGAGGATGATTGACAGTTTGTAAGTAATAACTCCTTAATTATAGGCTGCTGCTGTTGTAAAAATACCCTTTTCAGTTGTGGTCCAGATTAGACTGTCTTCTTTATCTATTGAATGAATCCCTTAGGCTATGATTGGTTTGAAGGAAAAAATAAGGAAAAGAAGGAAAATACAGGAAAATCTATACAATATTTGTAAAGATCTCACTTCCTTTCCTTTTTTTTCCCTACTTTTTCCCTCAAACCAAACATAACATTAGTAAATAAATTCTCCATGCTATCAATGAAATTTGCAATCATACAATGGTTAGAATGATGAGTAGATAGGTGGTCCTCATGACTCATTGTAAATCCCGGAATCTATGGATCAGTCATTGCATGGACAGTGTAGGGGATGTGCCTTTCATCCTAAACGTGTTGGGAGTTGGGACTTATTTACATTTTTTTTATTGTTTTTTATTTTTAATTATTTTGAAAAAAAATAATAAAATAATGGATAATTTCTGCCTAACAGAATAAAATCGTTTGGATGAAAGACACATAAACTAGGACATGTATTACAAAAATATTAAGTGCTCACTCATTGTGTTTACCTAACGTGCCTACTACATCCGGACCCTATTGTGGTCCATACCCCCACATAAAACATAAGAACATACTCTCAAAAACTTCTTTTTTGTTTGCTTTTTATGGACAATATTGAAACAAACAAAAAATGCAATACTAAATACAGAATTTGATTCTTTAGAAGTGCAAGGAAGCAAAATCCAAATCATTGGTCAAATCACGAGTGTAAAGTCATTCCACCTTCTAAAACACTACAAAAGTAGTATTAAAAAGTTAGATGTATTCGACCATCTACAATTTTTTTTCCAAATTTTGTATTTGACCATATACATTTTTTTTCCAAATTATAGAAAGTGTAAATTGACTATACAATTTGAAGAATTTACACAGTATTGATTACCGAGTCGTCGAGCCAGTCACATTCAAATTTTGGCAAATGCTCAGCCAAAGCCCACCCTAATTGCGGTTATTTGTGCAAGTAGTCAAATACATCACATCCAAACATAAGAATTCTAAATTTACTTTCAAATTTCAATATTTTTTAAAAATAAAGGGTAAATTGCATATTTAGGGTTAGTCTCACTTTAATACTCAAATTTCAAAACGTATCATTGTAGTACTTGAACTTCCAAAAACTAATCAATATAGTAATTGCCATCAATAGCCCGTCAACATGTGATTTGTAACATTTTAAAATTTCAAAGTCTCATTTACTCAATTTCAAAATGTGCCATTGTAGTACCTGAATTCCTGATAATTATCAATTTAGTACCCACCATTAGTAGTCCATCAGTTATCTTACACATGTAATGTCACATGCAGTTTGTAACATTTTAAAATTTCAAACTTACCCTTTAGAAGAAGACATTGTTCATAGTCTTGTTCATTGAGATTAAACAAAGTAAGGGTGAACATAGTCCTAAATCCACCATTCTTTATAGCCATTACCTGAAAAATGTTTTGCCTATGCATTTTAATAGGTGCCTTTTCGCTCTTGTCATTCTCAAATGAATAAATTTATTTAAAAAACAGAATTTATTCATTAACCATGAGGGTCAATTACAAGGACTTGTTGGTGCTAAGTCAACTTAGAGCATTTTACTACTATGAGAAAGTATAAACCAAGGATTAAAGTATTGGTATCGGATAACTCATATATGGATATGGATACGCTTTGGAAACGCAACGATACAGACGAAAAACATTAAAACACTTGGATACGCTAGGAAAATGAATATTAATTCCACAAATATATTACAAATAATAGGTTTAATGTCAAAATAACTACAAATAATGTATAAATATATAAGAATTGTATATTTTGACGGTATATATGAAGAAATATATTACAATTAATATAGCATAATGTGTAGATATCATACAATTTTATTGATATGCATTAATCAAGATTCCAATAAACATATTATATAGATTTCTACAAATTAATACATGCATAAAGCCATTATTATCTTATTTTATATTAAAGTCCAAGGCACAAAACATACACAACTACTATATTTCAATTATTATATCATTTTTTCTATTTTACTACTTATAAATTTTAACATTAACAGAAATGTTAACTAAAAATTAAGTCTCGAAATTTTGGGAAACAATATTTTCATTTTTGTAAACAATAAATATGTTATTATAAAATGAAAATCAAAATTAACTGATAATTTATAAAAATATAGTCCTAACTTAAAACATATCAAATATATTTAAATTTCAAAGATATATATTATATGAAA